TTAGAAGCCTGTTGTATGTTTATTTGCCCCTAAATCTATAAAACCCAAGAGGGTTTTGCAAATTTTACAAGAAATGGTAGAAAAAGCATTACCTGAATAACAAAATTAGAAGCTGCAGTCTGAGTTGAGGAAGAAGCAAGCTGCTGACAACAATCGTTTCAGGGACTGAATTTCCTTATCAGAAAAAAGCTACCTAGTAGTAGATGTTTCCTCACATTTGTTTAAAGCTCCTACCATCAGATATGTGTGCCTGCCCAGTCATAGAAGAACTTGAACCCGCTTTCCTCCACGCCCTTTAGTTGGCGTCCATATTAATTTCCAGCCAGAACTCCTTAATGTGCCTGTTCTTACCACAAATAGTCACAAAATAATGATCTCTGTCCTTGAAGAAAACCGTTCTTGCAGCCTGCTATATGTTCTCTTGCCAAAAATTAACAATCAACCCTGCTTTATCAATTGTAGATCTGAAACATTGCATTCTCGAGTCTCCTCTTGCTGCTACCCAAAATAATATGCTTGTCGCAAGGATGGAAAAGATCTCGTCCAAGAACTTGACTCGAATCTGATTCATACTCGTTGTTTAGGCCAGCCAGAAAATCATTTACACACGTTCTTACTTAATCAACTTCTGAACTTAAGTCGCATCATCAGTTTACATTTTGGCTTGAAAGTTCTGGTAATAATCCAGTTCTTGCCATACCCACTAAGTTCAGCAAAATATGTGGCTATCCGGATAGTTAGATCTCCCTTGTTTGTTTCATTTTGAACTTTTCTGTCGGCAATTCATACCTCTTAGCATAGTTTCCAGGTTTGAGAATATCTATCTGTATACTTCATCCCATATCTTCTGGATCTTCTTAGCTATATCAAGAAGCAAATAGCCTCGGGAAATAGTTGGCTACATGGAATTTATTAACCAAGACATAATAAGAGAATTCTCGGATTTCCATTTGTTATAAAGCCTGGATCTGTCGAAACTGGTTTAGTTGCGCCACCATCAAGGTATCCGTACAAACCTCTTGCTTCAATGAATAATAAGCAAGATCGAGACCAAGCCAGGTAGTTCATTCCATCTAACTTCACCGGACTAATCTGAAGAGAGGGGCTCTATGAGTGAAAACCCATAGCTACCTTTTTCCGTCACCCATATTGTCAGAAAAAAAAAATTTTAAGCGGTAGTGGCAAAGAACTAGCAGCGGCAGAAATAAACCAAAAAAAGAAAAAATTGTAAAAAAGCAAAACTGGTGCTGAAGAACCAGCAAGGGAAGAACGCCATAACAAACCGAGGCCTCCGGAACAAGAAATGTCGACGGAGCTCGCCGGAAATAGCCGCACGTGCCGGCGCATGAAGAACGGCCAGAATCTTCTGGAGGCGCGTGTGCACACGCACATGATCGTACGGCGACGCGGTTTGGACGAAGGGCCGATCGGCGGTCGCGCTTCCTTCTGAGCCGGGCGGTGACGATCAACTCCTACTCCCGGCGGTACTGGGTGTATGTCAGTCCACTCGGAAACCGAAACTGTTGCCGAAAAAAAATTCACGGCGAGAAAACCGAAAACTCGTTGCCCGAAAAAAAATTTCACGGCGACGCTCTAAAAAAATTCACGGCGACGGCTCTGATACCATGTTGAAAGAATATTTCGTATTTCTTTTATTGTGTGTTATATTTTCAATCTCTACACCACTATATATATGCACAAGATATTTTCAATCTCTACACCACTATATATATGCACAAGATTGTTCCAATATAGGAAGAAATCTAAATAGGAACAAACCTAAATTAGGAAAGATAATAAACCTAAACTAGGAAAGACAATATTAACTTTAATTACAAAGATTTCAACACCTTACCATCATAATCGATGATAGAACTTCGTGCGTCCTGAGTCTAGATCCACAGGAGCCTTTTAAAAGAAAGCCCACTGAAATGGCTCGTGTAGAGGGGCATTGTTAATGTTAGCCCAGAAAGAGTGATACCCATGAGCAAAACCTTTATAATGGGAAATCAACAAGAGGCCACTTAGCCCTAGGTATCGAAAAGCCCAATTTCCATATATTGCATACATATTGTAAATCTAGCATGGAATCGTGAATATTTTAAAATATATACTTTATTTGGAATGCACCCCACAAGCTTGTATAAGTAGGGGTAGGCACTGTTATAATAGACAGAATTTCCAAAATATACAAACTTGAATGCAAACAATATTTATTATCTCTCTCTCTTCTTTTTGTCTAATAGCCTCACCTCCCCTCTCTTCCATTTTCTTTCTCTATTTCTCTCTCCTTTCTCACCTCTTTCTTTCCCCCTATTTCTTTCTCTAACCAACCTTCTCAATATGGACTAATAGCCCACCATCTGTTTATCCGTATGTCTACCACCCATATCCAGTAACAGATCTACTTTATGGAAAGAGGGGTCAATTGCCCTCTTTTTATTCATAATTTTCTTTTGATATACATTTTTTTTAATTGACCCCTCTTAAAATTCCAAATAAATTCTCTTTATTATATGTTGACCTCAGAAAGTTCACGGCCATGCCTAGATAGCCTGATAGAAGTTAGGCCCATAGGTTCGATCTCCATTTACAGCACACACACTGTCAAACAAAAGTGCAAACATTCAATTTCATAGCTACCTAGGGCTACTGACTAACAGCAGGACAGAGGCAGGACAGAGTTACGTAAAATGCTTAAGCAAAAAAAAGGAAAAAACTTTTAGATGAATTGAAACTTAAGAGATCTGCAATTTTATCAGCTGAGAGGGGAAGATGACTCCGAATCTTTTCAGGCTAATGGAAAAATTGGTTATTATCTTTTTGCTTTTATTATGAAATGTACTCTTTCCAATTTTAGCTCAGCCTATTCAACGACTTGCTAAATCGATTAGTTTATTTGCAACTCTTTTTTTTTTTTTTTTTTTTTTAAGTTATGCAAACTCTTTTTTTTTTTTTTTTGCCATACATCTACTCGATTTGAGTCAATAATTTCTTGTTTTGAATGTTCTTATTACTTTTTTTTTTTTTTTTTTTTTGCATACGATTTAGTCAATAATTTTCTTGTTTGAATGTTCTTATTATTTACTTTATTTTGTCGATACACTAACCTTTAGTTGTTATTATTATTATTATTATTTTTTACCTGTAATGTTTGCTTTGAATATATATAACTACCCACATGCTTGTGCTATGCACAATTTTAATAAACATTAATTTTAATATTTAATTTCAATTTTAATATTTCATTTTTTTATTATAATTATTTTCTAATATTCATATGACTACTTATTTGTAAATAAATATTTTAAAACTTGCATTATTCAAATTTAGATATTAACTTTTTATTTGAAATGATAACTTCATGATAGAAATAATAAATGACAATCAATAATTAAAAATGATAAAATTATTTTAATGAGAATTAATTGAAAATAATAGTTACTAGTTATAACTTACATAACAATAAAAAGAGGGTGAAAAGTCAAGTATAGACCTAGAGTGTCAAACGAAAGCCAATAAAGATAACATGACTTGTGCCACCTCATAAGGAAAATATGCTTGCTATTACTAGCTGTATCTATTAAACAGTTTAAACTCATTTATCAAATGAACAACTATTCCATGCACACTATAAGGCTCCACTGCATTTCTCACAATATCATAAAAAGAAATTATTGTTGTCAATCAGTTATTGCTAGATTGATTTTATTTGGTTTGATATTAACAATTTTTGGTTAATTCAAAGTATTTTAAGTTTGCTCAAAGCTTTGTGTCCATCTCCAGACTAAGCCAAATTTACACTGAACAAGCCCACGAGTATTTTTCTTAATATCTCTTATTTTCTTATTCACTTCCCTCTAATTATTTTCGTGACAGTTTAAAAGTGTAGATTTTTTTTTTTTTTTTTTTTTGATTTTACTTATTTGAGCGTTCCTCTAAATTACCTCTTCTCGTGTGACAGTTTTAAAAGTGAATTGTTTTTATTTTTTTTTTGAAAGTATCAAGGGAGGAAATTCAGAAACCGAATCTATTGCCGCGTATATCGGAATACCAACTAAGCTTAATTGCACCTTGAATTGTGCTTAAAAGTTTGAAATAATTATTATTGCATCGACCTTCATGATGGTGCAAAGAAAGAATGTATAAGTGAATTTAAGGGGCATTAAACAAAAGTGCTAACAGCTTATTCCTAAAAGATTAAGTAAAGAAATTTTTTTTTAAAAGAAAGATCTTATAAATTATGTTGTCTACAACATTTAAATCCCAAATCAAAACAATTAACGAAGTAAAGATAGCTATCATGGATTAATTTCCCTAACTAACTTAATGTATTATTGGATACCGCAAAATAGATATGACAATAAAATTCACACTTAAATAAGTTACTTATTATGTATTTAAATGAAACAGAATTAAGTACCGCACATGAAACTATGAATCACCAACTAGTTTTAGAATATGACTGGATTGGTACAAACACTTACAATCCAATGAGCTTCGCAAAAATTAAAAGAGAGAAAAGCCAATCCAACTAACAAACAAAATGCCATGCACAGTCCAGAACATCAAAACATCCTTCTTCAAGTATAAAGGCCCAGACGCTTAAAACGGTAGTAAAAATAGGAAATTAATAAGTTGATTTTTTTTTTTTTTTTTTGAGTATCAAGGGAGGGAAAATTCAAACCCGAATCTATTGCCGGATCGAATACCACTAAGCTATGCCTTGATGTGCTTAAAAGTGTAAATAATTTTATTCTCGCCTTTAAGGCATTAAAAAAAGTGCTACAGCTTATTCTAAAGATTTTAGTAAAGAATTTTTTTAAAGAAAAATCTTTAAATATGTATGTCTACACATTTAAATCCCAAATCAACAATTTACAAGTAAAGATAGCTATCATGATTAATTTCCTAAACTACTTATGTTAATATACCAAAATATGACATAAAATTCAATAATAATTATTATTATTATTTAAATAACAGATAAGTACCGCACATGAAACTTGAAATCACAACTAGTTTTAGAATAAACTGATTTGGTACAAACACTTACAATCCAATTCTTCGCAAAATAAAAGAGAAGCAATCCACTAACCAAACACAAATGCCATGCAAGTCAGACAATCAAAACATCCTTCTTCAAGGTATAAAGGCCCAGACGCCTTAAAATGTGTAAAATAGGATAATAATTGATGATATAATAAGATCCATCTATAACAAATGGGTGAAATATAAGACATACTTTCACAAAATCTCATGCTAGAAGCGCAGAGATGCGCAGAGATTGGACTTGGTTGAGCATTAGGCAGCCCAACGCAAGTCTCATTACCGAAAACACTCCACAGACATGAAAGAATAAAATTCAAAAAGTATGGTAAAACCCAGTCGTCACGTACTCTGTAAACTTTCAAGAAAGCGTATGCAAGTTAGCCAAGAAGCAGCCTACCGATAAGTACCCAAAAGATACGCCATAGAATGTATAAACTTAAAAACAGAGCAAGCAAGAGACTCATTTTTTAAAAAATTTCTAAGTTAATACATATGGCCTATGTTTGGTAAGCCACAACAGAATATAGTGGCAACCAAATACATTTCTAGTATAATTGGAAATGCATTTGACGTTAGAAATGTATTTGATTACATCCCAATACAATTAAGTTTAACTGCTAGAATCAATAAACCACATTTGTGTAAACAACCCACATTGGGAGTCTAGGAAAGCCCATTGGTAATTTGCTTAGTCAGTGTGTAGATTTTTATGCGCATAGCTCAAGTTCCGCAAGTGTAAGATCACTGATTCCTATTCCCAATAGGACAAATACAGAAAAGATTTTCACAACGCTTGTCTAGAAATAAATTCAGTGGTATATTCTGGAACGCATATTGAGACAGCTCAAGTAATTGAAGCAAATAAAATTAGCAGTTTACTAACAGAAAAGCAAGCTCTATCCGAATCTCTAGTAATTGCCTCATAAATATCGAAAAACACACAATTCAATTTCATCTAACGTCATCATGCATTCAGAGATTTGTATAACTCTTGTAACTGCAAGGCTGTCATATCGTCCCTCATTTTCATAACCTCCCCGGTTTGCGCAAGTCCTACAGAGAAGGGTTGTTCCATGATTCAGCTCGATACGTCGTTTTACAATAAAGTTTTTCTCAGCACCTGACGGCCATGAATAATAACAGGTCCAGTGGATAAAAAGAAAGCATTAATCACCTGTGCAACTGCATTATTTAACGTTTTCCACGATGCCCGCCTCCTGACCTCGCACCAGGATAGCGAGCAAATTGCAACCTTAAATGGACCGAATCACGGTCATGCTCATCAAATTTATAACCTGCAAAATCGAGCTCGAGTGTTTTATGCTGCACAAGTGACGACACTCTGAACCGCGAATTAGGGAGTAGACAGCAAATAAGTCGTCTAAATCATTTATCGTAATCACACACTCGAAATATGTCAAACGTTCATCACCACTTCTGAACACATTTAAGTCGCAAAAATTGAGCTATCAGTCATATGACTGATAAAAGATACTGCAAAATTACATTAGGACAAGAGGGGCATCTCGGCTTCCTAAATTAATGGTTACTGACAGCGTTTTATCTGTCTAAATTAATGCTTACAGACAGGGTTTTATCTGTGGTTTACGCGTAATATGGGGATAATCATTTTCCTTCGCATTAGCTAGCCTCTGGCTTAACATGGCAGCGGGAAATCAAAGAAGATAAAGATAAACATAACAGCGAGAATCAGCAAGATCTCAGTCAGATTCCAGCTAAAGCCTCAATTGGACTGAACAGACCTCATATAGAAGCCTGTTGGATCAGTTTCTTAAAATACTCGAGATTCATTAAAACCAAGTAGATTTTTAAATTCATGCAGTTTAAATGGGCTCAATGAAAGAGCTAAATTGACCCAAATTGGATCTGACGATTGATTCAAGAAAGGAAAAGAAAAAAAAAACTCATTTGCCAAAAATGCCGATCGATAACCTGCACTCTTAGTAAGATGAGTTGCTAATAATTTTTTCATTCATTATCAGTTTGACACCCACTTAGGTAAGAATTGAATCAGAAAGCCGGCCAATTTAATACCAAAAAATTTTGCCTACTTGTAAACATTAACCACCACAGAAGCTCTGAAACAACCCAAATAGTTCCCTCCAAACCAATGCAGAAAAGTAATTAATAACCAGAATGAGAAAGGCTGGCTGAGATAAACAACAACAAACCTGATGGATAAATCGATATGCAAGTAAGATACCTATACAGTGAGGAAAAAGATAAAACACGTCAAGCTCACCTTGTAAGGCGTCCATTGCAGTGGCAGCATGGGCAGGACTCAAAAAGTCAACAAAACAGAGTACCAGCGGATCCCCCCCAGGCTGCAAAATATTAAGTAGTCAGTGAATCTATCAATTTACCAAATTTTGCTTCCATATGATAGAACATAAACAACAACAAGAAGAAACAAACTTACACGTCTTGATTCCTTGCTCACAAGTCTCACTTCTTTGTAGCCAACAAAAGGACGAAAGATATCTGTTAACCCAAGTGAAGGAATAAAACTAAAGGGAAATATCAAAACAACAGTTGAAAAGCTTGTGGAAGCCAATGGAAGGATACGTGACACCTCCCTCCGTGTACAATTAGAGGGCAAGCCCTCTACAAACAGTGTACTGGTAGCATCTGGAGGAAGGGGGGCCTCAGGTCTTCCACTTCCTAATCCTAGTGTCCTCTCTTTTACAGTGGCCCCAGGGTCCAAGCTCCCAATACCCACGACACGTGGATCATCAGCAGTACGACTATGCATTCCACTTATTGCTCTCGCAGATTGTCCTCCACTATAGGATGAAATAGGCTGAAATTAAATATAAAACCAATAATAAGTTCCAAAACAAAATCATGCAGAGAAAAACAAAGTAGGAAGTGAGATCCATAGACATAAAGAAAAACTGAGCACCGCGCTGCGCAGGTATCGATCATAGGATGCACCAATGGATTCTGAATCTCTAATTGCACGGAGAGCTGCTCTATCATCATCACGGGCATAATAACTGGGAATCTCATGGCCACTAGGGACATCTACAAGATTATGTGTGTACTCAAATGAACAAAATATTTAAGAGAACCAAGTATAAGGTGTAAGTACAGGTTAAGGCACATGATTCAAAAGCAAAGATATGACATACAAGCACATAATGCAAATCAAAACATCAGAGAGCAACACATAGGATACTGAACAAGTTATAAATTATAAACTAACCCAGATCATCAATCTAACAACGGACTTAATTTCCATGGTTAGCGTAAACCAAAAAATCATGCAGAATAAACTAGCCAAGGTGATCCTAAATTTCCAGGCATGGGAAACCACTGTGTATCTATCAGAAGACTATTTTGAAGATATGTAGTATTCAATGTAAAGCCAGAAATTTTGAATTAACGCAAATGTAAGTAATTTAAAAAACTGATATATTTTACGAGCTCCCTTTAAAATAAACCAACAATAACTAAGTCTTAGTCCTAGACTAATTCAGACCGGCTATATGAATTCTTTGTTACCATTTCCACTTTGTTCAATAACAGCAAGAGATAAGCAAAGCATAAAAAGGTAAACAAAGGATTTTGAAATGAAAAATTAGCAAAGCATAAAAAAGGTAAACAAAGGATTTTGAGATTTTGAAAACGAAAATAATTTTGGTAAAAAATTTTAAAATCATTTGTTTTATTAAGTGATAAACAAACATAAAAGAAACAACCACAAAAAGCCTTAAGTCTAGACTAGTTGGAGTCGGATATATGAATCTTTTGTCTCCATTTTGTTTTTTTCATAGCTAGATCCTCATTAATTTCAAGAGATTATAGATCCTTCGTGACCAATTCACTCCAAGTGGGTCTAAATATAGCTCTCTCCAAGTTTAACACCCTCTACCTTCAAAGTATCGCACTTACAGACTGGAGTATATGGGCTCTACATAAAACATGACCAAACTATCGCATAGGTCCTTTTATTTTATCTGACTTTTGCTACTTGCACCTTATGTAGAGTATAGTCATCCTAATATTGTCCAATCTTAAATGAACACACATCAATCTTGACATCAGCATCTCTGCCACATTCATCTTATGAACAATGCTAGGCACTTGGTACCCAACATTCACTCTCAGATAACACAATAGGTCATGTTACAGTCCTATAGAATTTATCTTTCACTTTGTTAGGTATCTTCCTATGACACAGCACACATATAGCACGTTTCCATTTCACCCAAAAAGAAAAAGGAGAAAGCGGACATGTCTATTAATTATACAGCTATAATTACTCAGAGAGAATAACTTCCTAATTCTTCAGGTTTTACCTACTTTTGAACTTTGATCTGTGAGGAATTTTTGGCCCATAAATTGCTGAGACAGTGATGATGGGGTCTTTCAAAGACCCCAGACTAAAGTAAAAAGTTAATAAAAGACCAAGCTAACAGCTGTCCCTTACTCTCAAAAATAAATAGAATCTGCCAATGGGAATTGTTAGAATGCTGTAATTAAGGCTGTAATTAGAGCTGTAATTGTGTGAATGTGCCGAGATTAGGGCTTCAATTAGGGGATTACAGGGCTGTAATTGTGTGATTAATGTGCTGTGCTTCGGGCTGAAATTAGGGAACTTATTACCCTAGAAAGAATTATTTGTATTATATATATCCAATAGGTTTGAGGGAATAATCAAGCTTGAAGCTTCAGCCTCTCATTCTCAATCTATCTCCTCTCATTCTTCAATTTCGTTTGCATCAGAAAATTGGGATAAATATAACTTCACTAGGAAATTCCGTAATGTCATACCTACTAAACCTGGATTTTAAATAATAATATTTTACTATACATAGCTTAGATTGTAATGGTTTATAATTTTAACGCTTGTTTGAGAAATTATTCCCCCTTGAACAAGAAGCATACAAAAAAGCTCCACACTATTCTTAAATAATGGATAAGACACAAAAAGCTCTTTGCTTGAGCCACTCGGACATAAATCTGATACAAATTGAAGTTGCATCCTATAATTTTGTTGTATTGAAGTACAATCAAGAAAATTATACATGAATCCTAGGATTCTAAATGGTATGCAGGGTTTTGTGCAGTAGGCAAACTAGCTCATGGTTCACTTTGATGATTTGGGAGAACTACAAATGAATCACGTCAGACTGTTAAAAGCTAAGGAAATAAATGCACGCATAAGAATAAAGAACGAAGAGGGAAATCTCGAAATCAAGTATACAACCAGCCAACATTTTATCCAATTCAGCTCAATTAATACATTAATATAAGAAATTAAATATATCCAAAGCTCTCTTTCAAAAAAAAAAAAATATATCCAAAGCTCCGTTTTGCCATGAATAGAGGAGGAGGAAATTAAAACCTTTTCTGCTGCAATCAGGTGAAATTGATCGTAACCCTAATTCCTTCACTCACAAACTTAACAGAACATGAAAGAAAGAGAATGAAATTATCTCTAGTAATTACCGTAGTCGGAGCGAGGGCGTTTTCCGACGAGAGCTGGAATCGTTGCCTGTTGCTGCTGACGTGCGTCACCGTATCTCCAATAGGCATCCGCCATATATTTGTCAAAGTTTTCCAGTCAAACAGAGAGATAAAGAGAGAGAGAGAGAGAGACAGAGGGGGGGCCGTAAATGCAGGAGAGAATAAAAGTGACAAACAGAACGTGTTAGAAATGGAGAAAGACTCCGACTTCAAGAGAACTGTAGTACTTGTATTTGTTTTGCCGACAAAGTTCTAAATGGCACCGGTTAGGGGCTTAAGCATAGTTTTTACTCCAACTTTTGGCTTGTTACAAGGATTTTCCAATTTCAACTTTGAAATTAATAGGCTTTGTAATAAAACAATATTACTAATTTTTTTAACCTAAATTTCATGTTGTTACCACTCGTTATATATGATTTAATTTTGGATTCTGAGCAAAATTATTTAATAATAGAATAAAAAATTTTTTATAACACTAAACTGACATAAAAAAATTCTATTTAATAATAGAATTTTACATTTTACATGATTTGAAAACTCTCTCGTCAAACCAATTAAATGAAACTCGAATAACAGTATAGCGACCATCATTGAAGGCGTGTCTTCTACAAAATTGAGACCCATCTAGACACCATATTGCAACATTTCACTAATTCTTGATTTCCTTTTATAATCTGCAAAATAGGTTAACTTCACTTGATCTACGATATATATTTTAATTTGTAACTTAAAAATGCTTAAACTTAAATTATGTAACACTAAAATGCTTTTAACCATTTGAATTGATTTTTCGGCTCTGAATTGCCACGTGGATAACAGGTGGGATACAAAAAAATTAAAATATTGTACAAGTTGGATATACATTTTTAGTTTTAAAAATATTTAAGTAATAAAAATATTTTGAAAAGTACAAAATATTTCCTTATATATGCTAACCTCCCCATAAACGGCTCATCTTTTAAAATTTAAAAATTTGCTTAAAAATATAATTTAAATTTAATATTTTCAGTTATTTGCTTTTTAAAATTTTAATTTAATGACAAATAAAATTGTATAATAATATTTCAATTCATCCACAAATTGCAAAAAATATAATTGCAAATCCTAATAATGAACAATTTTCCTTATCAGAGATTCTTAAAAATCTTCTCTCTCTCTCTCTAACCTTTTCAAGATTTCACATTTTCTCTAATTACTACCATCATCCTCTTGAAAGTGAAGATGATGATGCACGGTTCCTTGGGTAGTTGAAAATGAAGTTTATGTAAAATAAGTTAGTGGGCACTTATGTTTACTCCTTAGTCTCCTACTATTGCTCAAGCTTATCGATTCACAGGCTTGATTCTTAATCAAGCCTAGCCAAGAAATTAAACAAAAAGTACAACCTCCGAGACCCAAAAAACAACAAGGACGAAAAGAAAAAAAAAAAAGCACCATATAACATATATGTATTGATTTATACAGAAAACAAAAAGAAAGTTGAATAGACGGTAAGGAAGTTGCAAAGATCCATGGTGAGTCTTCTTCTCTCGTTCTCTTCGAATGCGAGACTGTTTACAACTATATCAGTGGCACCACGTATAAATTTGAGCATGAAATTCTCTAATTTTCCAATAACAGAGGTACAGTACAAAAAAAGTGATAAAAAATGACGAGAATTAAGAGCAGCGACTATTATTTGTCCCCAAAAGTTATAACCCCTTGTAATTATGAGAAAATTTTAAACATTGTCTCTTTTTATGATAATAAGACCCAAAGGGGACAATCTAAGTTTATTACCATAAATTACTTATATTTTAATTAAAAATTGGGGCCACAGTTGCGTCAATAATAAAAGATAATATACGTCTCTAATACTAAGGGATAAGTATTGTCGTTAATTTTGGAGACTGATGTCCCATATAGGAGATGGGACGACTGATGTTTCCATTGCTAATGAGAAGTATTGTCATAAATTTTGAGGATGACTGACGTTATATAGGGGTTTCGTATATTAAGGACAATAATCGTCATTAATTTTGGAGACGATTGACGTCCTATATGTATGGGATACAACTTATGTCTTATGTACTAAGAACAATTATTGTCATCAATTTTGGGGACGATTGACATTTCATATAAAGAGGATAACTTTTGTCTCCTATACTAATAATAAGTATGTCATATATTAAAAAGAGAGAAACTAATTATCAAATGCGTTGTTTGGTGGAATAATCTGAAGAGTTGGAAGAATCTTGAGTTAAGTGTGCTCGCTTAAGAGAAATTCTAGGAAGCTTTCATCCACGAGATAATTTTAGAGACAATTGACGTCCCATTAAGGGACAAATATTGACCATATTTTTATATAAATTTTCATTTAAATTTGGAGGGACGATATATGGCTCTTAAAATGGAGATAATTATCGTCCATAAGACAATTTATTAAAAGTCGTCCCTTGTAGAATATGGTACACTCGTTAAGAGGATGCTCACAAGGGACAATGTTATTTGTCCACAAAAGTATTGAGAACAATTTTTTTAACTTAAGAAGACAATTTTAAACATCCTCTAATATACTTTTTTTGTAGTGGTAGCAAGTTTTCAGATCTGGCGTATCTGATAATGGAGGGTGAAGTCTAAGAAAGGTTTGGTTAATTTTGGAGTTTGAAAGAAAAGAGAGCGGCAAGAGAGGGAGGAGGGCAAAAAGAATGTTGATTTTTAGGTTTTTTATTTGTGTTTGAAAGTTGTGATTTCATCCAAGGTAAAAATGATAGGTCTTGATGGTGGGGGGCTGTGGGTGGTCTGGATCGAAAGATTAAAGAGAGAGATGAGAATTTGAGAAGATTTTTTCTTTTTATTTTTAAAATATTTTTTATTACTTAAAAATACTTTTAGAACTACAAAATATATAATATGCCACTTTTGACGCGGATCCGGGATCGGGAATCAAAGGAATGGGATATAAGTTCGCCTCTATGGCACCCCACGTTTATATTGAAACGGAAACACCAATAATCGTGTTTCTCCCCCCCCAAATTAAGAAAAAAGATCAGATTTATTAAAAGTCGTACCTTGTAGAAATAGGTTACCACTCGTTAAGAGGATGCTCAGAAAGAGGACAATGTTATTGTTCACAAAAGTATTGAGAACAATTTTTATTTAAACTAAGAAGACAATTTTAAAAACATCTCTAATATACTTTTTTTTTTGTAGTGGGATAGACAAGTTTTCAGATCTGGCGTATCTGCTAATGGAGGGTGAAGTCTAAGAAAGGTTTGGTTAATTTTGAGTTTGAAAGAAAAGAGAGCGGGCAAGAGAGGGAGGAGGGCAAAAGCAATGTTTGATTTTTAGTTTTTCATTGTGTTTGAAAAGTTGTGATTTCATCCAATGGTAAAAATGATAGGTCCTTTGAAAAAAAAAATTGGGGGGGTTTGGGGGAGGGGAGGGGGGGGGGGGGCCCTTTTTTGGTTTGGGTGGTCTGGTCGAAAGAATTAAAGAGAAGAGATGAGAATTTCTGAAGCAAGATTTTTTCTTTTATTTTTAAAATATTTTTATTACTTAAAAATACTTAGAACTACATAAATATATAATATAGCCACTTTTGACGCCGGATCCGGGATCGGAATCAAAGGAATGGATATAAGTTCGCTCTATGGCACCACACACGTTATATGAAAAAGCGAACACCAATAATCGAGATTAATCGCATCTATGGACCGCCATGTTTATAGTGAAAGCCCGGTAACACCAATAATCGAGCAAAGAAACAAGATAAACGCCACAAACGGAATTTTTACCTTAATTCTTGATGCAATTAGAGAATAGCAAATTCTCACAATCACTCTAATTAAGAAGAACATGCAAGAGCATGAACAATTCTGCCTTTGATTCAAATTATGCCAAAAATCTCGTTTTACATATTAAGGAGGCTATTTATATGCCTTAAACAAACATAACCCTAAAGAAGAGCATCTAACTAGGCTGCCCTAGGGCCAAAACACAGGGGCTTAACTCTAAAACACAAAATAAAGTCATTTCCAGCCCAAAACAAACAACTTGATATTGGGCAGATTGCATGCATCATAAAACCAACCCAAAACAACAAGCGCAAACAAACTTAAATGAAACACTATGAGCCAATATCCTTATATTAACTTAGACCAAAACAAGCATACAAGATAGAAGACACTCAAGCCCACCTAGGAAAGCACTAATGGATCCATATCAATAAGAACAACATCCAAGCCACTACGAAGCACCAATGGATTCCATATCATTTCCCCTTTCTCAAAAAGGTATTCTGCCTCGAAATCTGTAATTAAAGTTTGAGGTATCCTTTTGCTTGCTAGACATCAGTACCACTTCTCCTTAGAATCCGATCCATGCCCTTTTCTTTACTCTTCTTCTCCTTTTTAGACCGTATTGAACTCCATTGGTTGCTACAACCTGAATATGCCTTTGCAACACCTTTGTCTTTATTGGATTGCTTCTACTGACTAGTTGATTTGGAATGGTGGAGCCAAGAATGAAATCGATTTGATGTTCTATCCCTCTCAAAGGTCGCAATCCACTAGGCAACTCTTCAAGAAAGACATCAGTGAACTCCTCTTTCTCTCTCTCAAGCAACTTTTTCTGATCAATATTCACTTCTTGAGGTATCAATGGTGCAAGAACAACCTTTTTACCCTCACATGAAGATTGGGCAATCTCTTCTGGAAATGCATGTTCAAAGTCCTGCAAAAGATCAACAAACACACTTGGCAAGGATGGGTTAAGATCATTTGTGATTTGTTCTTGAGCAAATGCATTCAAGGCTGTTCGTAGCTTGGTTGCACGAGCTCTTGTGATTGGCCCCACGGGCAGAGCTAGAGGATCCTTCACCTTGCTTCCTTGATCCGTATCACTCCTTTTCTTTATTGACAGCCTCAAAACTCATCTTTTGCTTTCCATATTGGTCTTCATCCACTTCTTTTGAGGAAAATGATCTTGGAATGGTCATCCCATCCTTTGTGAATGAATACCTATTGAGGTAATCCACACTTTTCCTTTCTTGCACCCTTCCTCCTTCCTTGCACCCTTCCTAACTTATTGTTCAAATCCCTAAAGTAATGATTAGGATTATCGACCTCCTCATCTTTAGGAGTTTGAAATCTAGTTGGCGCAGTAGTAGGACGAGCTCTTGTTGTATTAGAGCGTTGGGCGGCTTTAATCTCCTGCAAATCCTTTCTCATATCTTGGACAGAATTATTGAAAGTTCTAAACTGTCCTAGGATTG